ACCACTCATATTCAACACAGTAGTGGAAGTTCTAGCTAGACCAATCAGGCAAGAGAAAGAAATAACATGAATGCAAACTGGAAAAGGGGAAGTCAAATTGTTTCTGTTTGCTAATGATATCTTATATCTAGAAAACCTAAAGATTTCCCCAAGAAACTTTTAGATTTGATAAATGAATTAACTAAAGTTGCAAGATACAAAATCAATGCAGAAAAAAACAGGAGCATTTCTATACACCAATAACAATCTAGCTGAGAAAGAAATCAAGAAGATAATTCCATGTATAGTAGCTGTAAAAAAAATAAAATAACGAGGAATAAATTTAACCAAGGAGGTGAAAGATATCTACAAGGAATAACACACACAAAAAAAAACACTGATGAAAGAGATTGTAGATGGCACAAACAAATAGAAAAATTACTCATGCTCATGGATCAAAAGAACTAATATCGTTAAAATGACCATACTGCCCAAAGCAATCTACAGATTCAATGCAATCCCTATCAAAATACCAATGTCATTTTTCACAGAATTATTTTGAAAAATCCTAAATTTCATACAGAACTAAAAAGAGTCTGAATAGCCAAAGCAATCCTGAATAAAAAGAACGAAGCTGGAGCCATCATATTACCTGACTTCAAATTATATAAAAGGCTATAGAAATCAAAACAACGCAGTTCTGATATAAAAATAGATGCATAGATCAATGAAATAGAATAAAGAACCCAAAAATAAAGCCACATGATTATAGCCATCTGATTTTCGACAAAGCCAGCAAGAACATACATTGGGGAAAGGACACCCTCTTTAATAAGTGGTGCTGTGAAAATTGGATAGCCATATGCAGAAGAGTGAAACTGAACCCCTATTTATCACCGTACACAAAAAAATCAACTCAAGATGGATTAAAGACTTAAACATAAGACCTGAAAATATTAAAATACTAGAAAAAACCTTGTGAAAACTTTTCTGGACATTGGTCTAAGCAGAGAATTCATGACTAAGACATTGAAAGCACAGAAAACAAAAACAAAAATAGACAAATGGGACTTAATTAAATTAAACAGCTTCTGCACAGCAAAAGAAACAATAGAATGAAGAGCCACCTTGTTGACTGGGAGAAAATAGTTGCAAACTATACATGTGACAGGGGACTAATATCCAGGATATATAAGGAACTCAAGGCAAGAAACAAAGAAAACAAATAATCCCATTAAAAGCGAGCAAAGGACATGAATAAAGATCTTTCAAAAGAAGACATATGCTTACTAGTATATGGAGAATTTTTTTTAATTTACAAAAAAAGAAGACATACAAATGGCCAACAGGTATACAAAAAAACTTTTCAAACACTAATCATCAGAGAAATGCAAATCAAAACCCAAATGAGATATTATGCTACCCCAGTCAGAATGGCTATTATTGAAAAGATAAAAAATAACACGTGTTGAAGAGGATGAGGAGAAAAAGGAAGTATTATACACTGTTGGTGGGGATGTAAATTAGTACAGCTTCTATGGAAAATAGTCTGGAGATTTCTCAAAGAACTAAAAATAAAACTATCATCTGACCCAGCAATCCCCATATTGGGTATCTACCACCAAAAAAAGAAATCAATATATCAAAAAGACACCCACATGCATATGTTTTCACAGCACTATTCACAATTTCCAAGATATGGAATCACCTTAAGTGTCCATCGACAGATGAACGGATAAAAAATATGTGGTGTACACACACAACAGAATACTATTCAGCCATAAAAAATGAAATCACATTATTTGCAGCAACATGGATGGAACTGGAGGTCATTATCTTAAGTGAAACAAGCCAGACATGGAAAGACAAAAATTGCATGTTCTCACTCATAAGTGGGTGCTAATAAATATGTTCATATATGTGTGGAGAGTGGAATGATAGATAATGGAGACTTGGAAGGGTGAGGGGATCGGAGTGGGGAGGATGATGAGAAGTTAGTTAATGTGGACAACGTATTAATACATTATTTGGGTGATTGATACCCTGACTTGACCGCCATGCACTCTATGCATGTAACAAAATTACACTTGTCCTCCATATATTTGTACAACTAATTAAAAAAGAAATGTATCAGGATTGGTTTTATGGCCCAACATATGGTCTATATTGGTAAATATTCTTTAGAAAAACATGTATTTTGCCGTTAATGTGTCTGATGGTCCATAAATGTCAATTAGGTCAAATGGTTGATGATATTGTTTAAGTCTTCCATATTTTTTCTGATTTTTTGTACATGTCCTATTGATAATTCAGATAATGGTGTTAAAGTCTCTACACTTGTAGATTTATCTGTACTTTCCTTTATTTGTGACTGGTTTTGCTTCATATATTTGGTGACTTTGTCTTTAGATGCAACACATTTTGCATTGTTATCTCTTCTTGATCAATTAACTGTCTTTATCATTATGAAATGTCCCTCTTTATCTCTGATAATTCTCTGCATCGTGAGTTCTACTTTGTCTGATATTAATATAGCCATAACATCTTTTTTATGTTTAGGGTTTGCATGGAATACCTTTTTTGATCCTTCCATTTTCAACCTTTCCCCCTTATGTTTAAAGTATGTATCAAGTAAGAAGCATAGTGATGTCTAACTTTATCATCCAGTTTGATAATGTAGCCTTTTAATTGGGGTGTTTAGTCTATTTGCATTTAATATAATCACTGATATTTTAGATTTAAGACTATCACCTTGATGTTTGATTTCCATTTGTCTCATCAGCTCTTTATTTTTCTGTTCCTGCTTTCCTAACTTTTTTTTGGCTTGATTAAATTTGTTAAATATTTCAGTGTATTTCCCTATTGATATTTTAGTTATTCCTCTTTGTATTATTTTTAATGATCATTCTAGTGCTTATAGTACATCTTTAACTTATCACTGTCTATATTCAAAATATATTACTAATGAACTATTTAAAAATTGTATGAAGTATATTTCAATTACTACTCTCCCACCCTTTGGGTTCTTACTATATATTTTATTTTCCTATATTCTATAAACTACATATTCCTTTGTCATTATGTTTACATTAAATAGCCAATTGTAAGAGATGAGGTAATATATGTATAACAATAAGAGTAAATGTTTAAAAGGCTATTTATATTTATTGACCAATTTACTCTCCCTGATATTTTTCATTTCTTTCTGCAGAGCTAGATTTCTACTGATATTATTTCCTTTTAACCTATTTAATTTCTTTTCATCTTTCTTATAGTGCACGTCTGTGGGAAACAAATTCTTTTATCTTTTTCTGTCTAAAATACCTATATTTCACCTTCATTTTAAAAATATACTTTTAGAATATTCTGGCCTTCATTATTTCTGATAAGAAGCCAGCCATCATTCTTATCATTATTCTCTCATATGTCATGCTACTTCATTCTCTGGCTGCTTTCAAGATTTTCTACTTGCCTTTGGTCTTCAGACTTTGACTGTAATATTCATAAGTGTGTTCTCTGTATTTATCTTGCTTGATATTTGCTAAGCTTCTTGAATTTGTGGATTGGTATCTTTTATTAATGTTCAAAAATTTTGGTCATTATCCCTTCATATATTTTTTATATTTCATTCTCCACTTTCCTTCTGGGACTATAATTACTTATATGCTAGGCCATTTAATATTGCCATACAGGTCTCTGATGTTGAGGGTTTTTTCTTTATTCTGTTTTTTGTCACCTCTGGTTCAGTTTGGATAATTTCTATCTTTGAGACGGTATAAAATCTGTCTTTGAATTTACTAATCCTTTTGTGTTATGTTCAGTCTTCTATTCCAATGACTCTTTATTTTAGATACTATAATTTTTAGTTCTAGAATTTCCATCTGGTTATTTTCAGAGTTTCCTTTTCTCTACTGAATTTTTACATCTCTTTACAGAGTTTTTCCCCACTTTCTCTAATTTTTAAAACATATCTACAATAACTATTTTAAACTTTTTTCCTGTTAATTTCAACAGCTGGATAATTTCTAGGTCTCCTTCTAATGAATTTGTTTTCAGTATTATGGTTCACATTTTCCTGGTTCTTCACATCTATTAATTATTTTATTGTATACTGAACATTGTGGCTGATATGTTGTAGAGACTCTGGATTATTTTATTTTCTTGTAAAGCTTAGATTGTAACTGCCTTAAGAAGGCAGTTAAATTACTGGAGAATCTCTTGGATCCTGTTAAGGCCTGGTTTTAGGCTTTGTTCGAGGGTGGAAGGGGGCAATTTTTTTTTGCCCCTAGTCCTAGGGTATAGCCCTTTGTCCTAGTTTGTGGTTTTTAGCCCTAAAGTGTGGTCTTCTCAGATCTCGAGTGAATGCCTGGTGTGTTTACCAAGGTCTCTTCACTCTGGATGGGTCAAAACTCATATATCTTCAGTACTATGAGATTTTATAACTATATGAGTCATGAAATCTCTGTTCAGCTCTCAGCTTCCTAACAGCTGTCTCCGCTAGGCCTCATGGAGTCCTGTCCTGAACATAAAGAGCTTAGTATTTGGTTAAGGAACCAAAGGGCACTCCTGTACAAATTTCTGTAATGCCCTCATTTCCAGTAACTGCCCTACAAATTTCAGTCAATGTAGAGACTCATAATTCTTATCTCTCTTTATTTCACCTGATGAGATTGCTGCTTTCTGCTTGGGATCCACTTTCCTGCGCTGAATTTAGAAATTTCTCACATGCAGAAAGCCAGGGAGTAAGTGAACCTCAAATTGTGTGTTTCTCCTCTCTGGAACACAGCAGACCTGCTTGTCTACTATCAAATGCTTGAAAACTATTGCTTCATATGTTTTTGTCGAGGAAGCATCTGAGTAGTGCAAAGGCCTCTTGAGAAGGAATTGTTCCATACCCACAGGAATCAGTGTTGAAGACATTTATGAAATTACAGCATTTTTTTTTCTTAATGCCTTTACTTAAAATATGATGGAAAAAATCTTACGGGTACACATGGAAAAGTATGACATGATCACCACTGAGTGAAAACAATCTAACCAGAAAGCTTTAAGATCTGCCAGCTAATGTTGAAGCTGAAATTCTGGGAATATGACATGCTGCACGGGGGCTGAAAGGAATGGATAATTAGTATTCCTCTCCTTCTTCCTCACCCTCTCCTTCAACAGAATCCACACCAACCTCCTCATAATCCTTCTCAAGGGCAGCCATGTCCTCACGGGCTTCAGAAAACTCTCCCTCCTCCATCCCCTCACCCACGTACCAGTGAACAAAGGCACGCTTGGCATACATCAGGTCAAACTTGTGGTCCAGGCGAGCCCAGGCCTCAGCAATGGCTGTGGTGTTGCTCAGCATGCACACAGCTCTCTGTACCTTGGCCAGGTCGCCACCAGGTACCACAGTGGGAGGCTGGTAATTGATGCCAACCTTGAAGCCAATGGGACACTAATCCACAAACTGGATATCAAGGTTTCTACGACAGATGTCATAGATGGCCTCATTGTCTACCATGAAGGCACAATCAGAGTGCTCCAGGGTGGTGTGGGTGGTGAGGATGGAGTTGTAGGGCTCAACTACAGCTGTGGAAACCTGGGGGGCTGGGTAAATAGAGAATTCCAGCTTGGACTTCTTGCCATAATCGACAGAGAGGCACTCCATCAGCAGAGAGGTGAACCCAGAACCAGTTCCCCCACCAAAGCTGTGGAAAACCAAGAAGCCCTGAAGACCTGTGCACTGGTCAGCCAGTTTACGAATTCGGTCCAAGACGAGGTCAATGATCTCCTTGCCAATGGTATAGTGCCCACGGGCATAGTTATTGGCAGCATCTTCCTTGCCTGTGATGAGCTGCTCAGGGTGGAAGAGCTGGCGGTAGGTACCAGTGCGAACTTCGTCAATGACTGTGGGTTCCAGGTCTACAAACACTGCCCTGGGCACATGCTTGCCAGCACCCGTCTCACTGAAGAAGGTGTTGAAGGAGTCATCTCCTACCCCAATGGTCTTGTCACTTGGCATCTGGCCATCAGGCTGGATGCCGTGTTCCAGGCAGTAGAGCTCCCAGCAGGCATTGCCAGTCTGGACACCAGCCTGGCCAACGTGGATCGAGATGCACTCACGCATGGTGGCTACAGGTTAGGAGGCGAAGGCGACAGGAGCAGACACCGGGTTCCGGTTACCGTCCCCGACAAGCTAAGAGTCGAGGTAAGTAACGCACTCGAAATTACATCATTTTAACTAGAGTAAACTGTCAAGCAGATTTCTCAACATATTCTCTAAGGACCTGGGAACTTTCAAGAAGGATCCGGTGTTACTCGATGTAGTTCTAGCCACCGTACCAATTCATTATGCCTTTCACCCTAAGTGTTAGAATAGCAAGAGACTGAGCATTTCGAGTCCTTGCAACAATTACAAATGCATACCCCGTGAGATTGTACAGATACTGTGAGTGCTCTGTGAACAAGGCGATTATCCCCACCTCTACTCCTGCAGCCAGCTCTAGGAGTCAAGCAACTAACTCCTTGATAATCTTGCAGGTAGGTCTCAGTAAAATGACCTTGCCTAAGTGTATCAAACATCAAGTGATGATACTACTGCAGATACCAATAAGATCATTCTTATTAAGGAGTCTTCTGAATTAAGTACCTGTCATGGATTAAGTGACCATCTCTGGAGTTTTCCAATGTTTCACAAAGACACTGCATCTGATAATTTCAAGTTTGATAACATATTCCAATAATATCTGAGGGCATTATTTCAAGCCTTGATTAATTAAATCAAACACAAGGAGCAGGAGAGTAAAACTTCCATTGTTCCAATGTTACTTTCTCAGGCAACTGGCAACCTCCCTATGCTCTCCCACCTGTCTGCAGCAAGAAGAGATGCAGGAGAGTCTTTTCCCTTAAAAGAGCAAGATCTATAAGCTTCCCTAGAGCAACTCAATATTTACTGTGTTTTTCTTCCACAATTATCAAGAATTTCTGAGTCACTTTATTGTCTACTGAGAAAAAAGTGTGTAGTTTGAAGTTTAACAGCACATGGATAATTTTCAGGCTATTAAAAAATTATTGGCTTTCATGTATGTGCTAGAATGGTGGAGTGAACATCACCCACCTTTTTCTACTTACTGCCTCTTAGCCCCAAAAGGTCAGATCACACTGACATTGCCACTTGCTTGCACCTCAAGAACAATATTATCTATATATAAGAATTCTGCATAAATTGTCAAGGCAACCCTATTGTAACATAAATCAAGAAAAACCACAAGTCACTCCCCGGGTCTCTCTTTACTAGGGGTGGTGAACCTGTAGCCTTAAGGCCACATGTGGCCTTCTAGGTCCTTAAGTGTGGCCTTTTGACTGAATCCAAATTTTACAGAACAAATCCTTTTATTTTTTATTAAGACATTTTTGTTCCTCTTTTATATTT